TGAAGGGAAAGGTTTACAGGACGGTGGTGAGACCAGCCATGATGTATGGTTTAGAGACAGTAGCAATAGGCAGAAGACAGGAGGCGGAGCTGGAGGTGACAGAGTTAAAGATGCTAAGATTCTCTTTAGGAGTGACAAGAATGGACAGGATTAGGAATGAGGTCATTAGAGGGACAACACAGACAGGAAGGTTTGGAGAAAAAGCTAGAGAAGCCAGATTGAGATGGTTTGGACATGTGCAGAGGAGGGACAGTGGATACATTGGTAGAAGAATGTTAGAGATGGAGCTACCAGGTAGGACAAAGAGGAAGACCAAAGAGGAGATATATGGATGCAGTGAGGGAGGACATGGAGATAGTTGGAGTCAGAGTAGAAGATACAGAGAACAGGGAGAGATGGAAATCAATGATCTGCTGTGGCAACCCCTGAAAAAAAGGGACAAAGCCGAAAAAAAAGAAGAAGTATATTTCCATTCTACAACTCTACTGTACATATAATTGTGTTGGAAAGGGTAATACAGTCTAGGGAGGGTTGATAACAGTGTGGGGGAGGTTCGTAAAGAGTAAATATATATACGTAAATAATATAATAACTAATCCTGCCCCTACTTCATCGATTTTCCCTTTTCGCAGTGGGTCTTGGAAAGCATGACCAAAGTACCATGATAGGAGAGGGACCACTGTATATGAGTCTTGGTTTACCAAAGCATTCGTTCTGGCCTGCGACTGAATTCCAAATAAAAAAATGTTAGACCAAAATCTGATTTTTGTTTAACTTTATTTGATTGTCCAGCCCCCAAAGTGTCTTTCCAGAAGAATTCTGGCCCTATGACAAAATAGGTTAAATATATCATCTGCTGTTTTAAAAGAAAGCTTTCTTTCTCACAGGTCTAAAGGTGGAGGGTGTGTACCGCCGTTGTGGATTGGCTACCAAAGTGAGTAGATTAGTAGACGCTCTGACGACATCCCCGAGCTCTGCTCTGTTTGAGAATGATGAACAGGGTGTGTTGGACGCCGGCTCTGCTTTGAAACAATATGTCCGCCAGAACAAGGGTTTCATACCCAATGTTCAGCCATGGCTACAGGCCGCAGGTTTGTTTAAGACTCGGCTAAATCTGATATACGTGGATGAATAACGTTTTAAAAAAAAACAAACTTCGGTATTTGTTGATTTAAATATTACTTCCGACAAGGTCCTATTGCTTTTTCTTTCCCCTCTCCCCTCTGCAGGTGTTTCAGACGAACGTCCAAGGTTCAAGGCCTATCAACGTTTACTTCAACAACTGCCTGACGTCAACAGAGCAACACTCAACGCGTTGTTTGCTCACTTCTACACGTAATAGATTTGCAGACTGATATACACACAACGTAACACCCTTAAAAGCCTGCCTTTTTTTTTTGTATGACCAACTAAAATCATACAAACAATATGCACATTTCCAACATAATAGCTTTATTTTAAGTTCAAATTGACTTCAATCCCCAAAAGCTCTTGAGCAAAGCTCTTAAGTTACCGGTCAATCTACGTTCCTACCCTCACCTATGGTCATGGATTTTGGGTCATGACCGAAAGAACAAGATCCCGGGTACAAGCGGGGAGCCAGCTGAGGTGGCTTGGCATTTAAATCGCATGCCCCCCAAACGCTACCCCTGGGGAGATGCTTCGAATATTTCCCACTGGGAGGAGACCCAGAGGAAGACCCGGGACATGCTGGAGTGACTATGTCACTCGGCTGGCCTGGGAATATCTTTGCAATCCTCCGAGAATACCTGGAGGAAATGAACCTGCTCAGACAATGGATGGACACTTTTGTTATTTCGTTCCATAAAAAAAAACTTTTTTAATATTCAAATTTTCTTTATAGGGCTAATAATTCTATTCTCAAACCAAGTCTCGTTTTACCACATGTCGAGTGTTTAGTCTGATGTCATCAGCCACATCTTCTGTCCGCAGGGTTCAGGTTTTCTCTCAGGTCAACAAGATGTCCGCTCAAAACCTGGCCGTAGTTCTTGTCCCGACGCTGTTCCAGACTTTAAGCCAGGATTTGCTCCGTCTCACTAAAGAGTTTATAATTCACCACACACTGCTTTTCCTGGTATGTACTTCCACATTTAGGCATACATACACATCACAACGCGAGCTCAATGTGATGAATTGATGGATTTTTTTTTTTTTTTAAATGCAGACATCAATGGATCCAGGAGAGGAGGAAGAACAGATCACTGTGCTGTGATGGAGGAGAAAATGGAACAAAAGGGGGAAAAAAAGAACAAAATGCCAACAATAATCTGTATTACTCTCATTACTTTTTTTTTATCATCTTTTTATTTAATCAGAGCAATTAAAAAGAAAGACTTTGATACTTTCGTTTTTAAATATAACCTGGAATAAAAATCACTTTCTCGGGCAAGGAATTTCCCTCCCAACAGTGACACAATAAATATGTATTTGCAATTTAATTCAGATCGGTGATTAGCCCTTGTAAAATATTCAAATAAACTGAAAAACAAAAATGGTTCAAGTATTTATTTTATCTAAACGGAGCCTCCATGAGCTTATTTTCCCTGATTACGTTGTACAAACCAATAAATTAAAAAAAAAACAGAAAGAGGGGATAAATGCCCATAGAATGCCCCAGAGGTGGGACCAAGTCATTGCTTTGCAAGTCATAAGTAAGTCTCAAGTCTTTGCACTCAAGTCCGAGTCAAGTCTCAAGTCAAGACTAAAAAGTGTCAAAAGTCAAGTCCCAAGTCCTGCCGTTTCTGTTTCGAGTCCTTTCCAGTCCTTCCACTCACTGCCGCTCCTTTTTTTGTTGACCATCTCGTAGTTTTTTAAATCTGAACAACACGATCTTTGGTATCATTTTCTCTAACCCGCGCATTGTTCGACAGCTCTTTCTCATTGGTTGTCCCGCAATTCGATTGGCTCGATATTATCGCGTCAAAACAACGTGGGTCTAATTTGATTGGATGTTGTGCCGACAGCACGCACGTACACAATGAGAGATACACAGCGCTCCGCAATAACTTACTTTATAATCTTTGGGTTTTGGAGAAAGTATCGAGTCATGTCGAGTCAAAGGGCTCGAGTCCAAGTGAAGTCACGGGTCGTTGATGTTAAAGTCCAAGTCGAGTTCCAAGTCTCTTTACATTTGGTCAAGTGGAGTCTTAAGTCATCAAATTGATGACTCGAGTCATCAAAGCTACATGTAGCTTAGGTAAGCTACATGTAGCTTAGGTAAGCTACATGTAGCTTAGGTAAGCTACATGTAGCTTAGGTAAGCTACATGTAGCTTAGGTAAGCTACATGTAGCTTAGGTAAGCTACATGTAGCTTAGGTAAGCTACATGTAGCTTAGGTAAGCTACATGTAGCTTAGGGCCAAGTGGAGTCATCAAATTGATGACCCGAGTCTGACTCGAGTCCAAGTCATGAGACTCGAGTCCACACCTCTGCTGCATACCCTTGCAGTCCCTTTGAGGCACACTTTTTTCGCCTGAGCTACATGTAGCTTAGGTTACCTTACCTTAGCTTAGGTTACCTTACCTAAGCTACATGTAGCTTAGGTAAGCTACATGTAGCTTAGGTAACCTGAGCTACATGTAGCTTAGGTTACCTTACCTTAGCTTAGGTTACCTTACCTAAGCTACATGTAGCTTAGGTAAGCTACATGTAGCTTAGGTAACCTGAGCTACATGTAGCTTAGGTTACCTTACCTTAGCTTAGGTTACCTTACCTAAGCTACATGTAGCTTAGGTAAGCTACATGTAGCTTAGGTAACCTGAGCTACATGTAGCTTAGGTTACCTTACCTTAGCTTAGGTTACCTTACCTAAGCTACATGTAGCTTAGGTAAGCTACATGTAGCTTAGGTAACCTAAGCTACATGTAGTTTACCTAAGCTACATCTAAGCTGTAGCTTAGGTAACCTAAGCTACATGTAGTTTACCTAAGCTACATCTAAGCTGTAGCTTAGGTAACCTAAGCTACATGTAGCTTAGGTAAGCTACATGTAGCTTAGGTAACCTAAGCTACATGTAGCTTAGGTAAGCTACATGTAGCTTAGGTAACCTTGTTCAAGGCTCACCAATTCAAAACATTTGGTTATGAGCTGAGAGAAGAAGTAAAATGACACTGAAACCGCAGTCATTTCGACTTGTCTTTATTTAAGATTCAACAATATAACAGGTATCTCTTGTTGGAAAATCGGGAGCAAGTCTAGAGAAACATTAATTGTACAGACACATGGGTTGACAGGACTTGTTACATATTTTAAATTAGATGATGTGATCTTAAGCCCAGAAATTTCTATTACCACATGAAAGTGTTTCAGCAATGGCAGTAAATACTGTTGTCCTCTAAATGAGTGATTCCTACAAATCTAAGAATGATGACGAAGAAAATACTTTTTCTCCAAAATGTAAAAAACTAAGTTCTCATATTAGGAAAAAGCTAACAAGGATTTTATACTAAATGGACACTCTTACTTTTTTTTAGTACTTTCCAGCTTGTATATTAAAGCCTATGAAGAATTACCTAAAAAAGTAGCATGACGTTTTACTGGCTGAGTAGTGATGATATATATGTATATGTATATATATATATATATACATTTTTATGGGACAAAGACAGACCATGAGGAAGAAGTCATGTCACACATGGTTTACAATGATTTAGTAGCTTGCATATGTACTAGTGAAGGTACTAACAATTTTGTGCCAGTGTTTTTTTTCCATCTATGCGTTAGTTTGGCTACATGCTAATTTCCCTGCGATGGCTACATGAAATAACCAATAAAAGGGAAGGGGATTTATCGCCATCTCTTTTTTTCATCTTTGTATTACTAGGGTTCAGCTGAATGTGGGGAAAAAAAATTTACAGGGTTTAAGAAAACTGATTTTCAAATAAATAGGACTAAGATCTATACCAGGCGTGGGCAAACTTTTCGACTCGCATGCCACAATTGTCCTAAAATTGAACAGGGGGGCCGGGTCAGGAGCAGATAGATAGATGGAGAGATCGTGTGAACTTTAAATAAATGACGTGTAAAAGACATGCATAAAGGCTAAAATGCTTTTAGCACTTTCTAAGCCATCTGTTGGGGAAACATGGGTATTGCAGGTAAAAGGCAGAAATATAGTGATAATATAAATAAATTTGGAAAAGCTTGACGGGCCGGATTAAAACTCTGAACAGTTTGCCCATGCCTGATCTATACTAAGAAAATTGGTCTAGTACACAATCGTATTACTTTTGCCCAGATTAGTTATTTTTAGACACAGGGTGGGAACCAAGGGCTAGATCTCACAGTGACCAAAGATTCTTTGACTTTTAAAAAAAATCTTAGTCTTTTAGTGCAAGTTTTATTAATAATGCATACACTATACAAAATTAAAATTATTCACCAACCATATATAAACAGCATGTGTTGAAAGGGGTTGCTTTAACAATCCATGAGAAAAGGAAATTGCATTTGAACACCTTGACAATAGACAAAAGTGTTGTCTGATTTAATAAGGTCCGTTTGTTATTTTTTAAAATATAGCTCTTTGCATAAAAAGTTGAGATGCACTAATTCATTTTTTTTTTTTTTTTGGCTGTCCTTGCCTGAGCAGGACTTTAGACGAAGCATGCGAAAAGGTCATAAGTGATAAAATTCAAATTTCACACGCATGGACTTTATGTTTCTGCTGGTGGATTTGGAAAACTGCGTGAAACTGTAAGTAACTCACTACGTTTCTTTTGGCATTTTTTAAACTCGTTTTGCTTTTTTTTGTGTTGAGTATCAGGGCCACGTGGCGATTGGAAAAAAAAACAAACATTTACCATGACCTTTAAAGTCTCAAATGACTGAGAATAAAGTCATGCCTTAATGAGAATGAAGTCATGAATTTATAATAAAGGCGTAGCTTTATGAGGAAATGGTTGTAACATTATGAGGATAACGTTGTAAGTTTTACAAGAACAAAGTTGTACGTTTATGAGCAAAAAAAGGCCTAACAATATGAGCAAAAAGACGTACGACAACAAAGTCAAAACTTGGAGAGAATAAAGTCAAATGTTTCTTGTTTCCCCCCCAAAACACATCATCTAAACTTACAGCTTTATTGGATGACTTTAATGCAGTGGTTCTCAATTATTTTCTGTCATGCCCCCCATTGGGGACAGAAATGTTTTCACGTGTCCCCAACCACCGCACACACACCCCGCAAATTGAAATTGAAATTGAGAACCTAATAACATGTATATTTTTATCTGTACAAACCACTGTAGGAGTTGCTGCCACCTAGTGACTGGAGGCTCGTTATCATTCAAGCATTACAGCAGCGGTAATGCCGCCTATTTGAAAGTACTGCTTTAATGTTTTAAATGCTTTATGTACTTAAACTAATAACTTTTTTTCTCTGATCGTACACATTTCTCGGCCTTTTTTAAAAATAAGATTTCATATATTGTTACTTTTTTTCTCATGACTTCATGATTTCTTTTCAAAACGCCACGACTTCATTCTCATACATACTATGACTTCAACCTTTTTTGTCATTCTCAATGCGCCCCTTATGACTGCTTGTACTTGTGTGTACTTATGTGTAATGAGCATTAGGATAACAAAGGTCGGCTTTAGTGCTGTACTTCTACAGCAGAATATGAGGATTTCAAATAACAATGTCGTGAGTAAAGCGTTAATATATCGCAAGAACACAGAACTAATAAATGAGTACTTAATAATTATTATAAAATATAATATGAAATGACAAACTCTTAGACATATTTTAGTGTTTGACCTAACTTGAGTACACTTAAGACTCTCTAAAGTAGTTATCACATAAACGCGAAAAAGAACATGCTAAGTGTTGATAGCCTCCAGGCAAAGGAGTAAAGACATCAGTGATGCTATGTTATTGAACTAATGGCAAAAAACAAAACAAAAAAAACAGTCCTTCAGGATGATACGTGTGTCTCCAAAGTATCTAGAAAGCATGATATTTTAAGATTCGGGTTTAAGTGAACCTCAAATATGGTGCTCTTTTATGACGTCACTGCTCATTAGACTGTTACGGGAAAAGTGACAGCACTAGGACACAAGGAAGGATAATCTAGTTTATTTTACAAAAAAGCTAAAATTATTGTTAGTGACATTCTCTGAGGCTAAAGTTTCTAAAGATTTACAGATGGTCTCATCATCACTGAGTGGTGGCCTTTGTAAATGGTCCCTATTTGATCGTGAATCTTCAACTTCCGTAACTGTTCTGACACAGCCTGGGTGTTTCGTTTCAATAAAGTGCCCGCACAGGTATGCAGATTTAGCAAACAGATGTGTACACCACGTTGAGTGTAACACCGGATATCAACGATTTTGAGAGACCTTTAGTATCGTCACTAAAAGGTTTTTCACATTTGCATGCTGTCTGGCATCAGGGTTTCGGAAGGTTCTCCAGCCTCGGCGAAATTATCCGTTTATATTTTACTCAAATAAACATAATGCGAAAACATAACATTATCATTAAAAACCTGAATCGTTCTAATAAACATTTAAAATCAGACTAAGTCAAGTGGATTAGGATTCTAATTTGGACATTATTGCACTGGAAAATGTTTAGTTTGTGTTGCTTGTGTTTCATGATTTTGTCATACTTTTTTTTTTCAGTCTGGTTTCTTCTCTGTGGTCGACGCCACTTCACGTACTCCTCTGATGTTTAGATGACATCAGACTCCACAACACACTGCTCGGTGTATTCTTTCACCAGCTCCACACTCAGGGTGTTTTGGCAGTATTCTGCCATGGGCTTCCAGAGCAGCGGGTCCAGGAACATCTGGCACATCACGTGACCCTCCAGGGTGTCGGTGTGGCGCTCCAGGTGGCACAGAAACTGCTCCTTGACCAGGTCCAGATCTTTCCCATACATATCAATGTTCAGATAATACCTGTTAAAAAAAAAGAGTTAGCGGTTAGCGAAAAAAAATGTACTCGAATACTTGCTCGTATCTCGAGGTTCCACTGTACAAGCTCCTCAAAATACTAAATCACGAGTAAGCAGTTTTTTGCCAGAGTTTTCTCATGGTACGAGTAAACATCAAGTTACGAGTGCTCAACCAAGCTCCATTTTTCACTGTCACGCCTACTGTCCCTTTATCTCTCTCTCTCTCTCTCTGAGTCTCTCACTCTCTCTCTCTTTATATAATCTAAATCGAGTCCTCACTCCCGGTCCTTCTCCTACCTTAAGTTGACCGACCGTTGCAATGTGATTGGGGTGGCGACTGCTGCCCCCGCGACCCAGTAACGGATAAGCGGCTGAAAATGGATGGATGGATGTGTGGATTTATATTAATATATTTGTTTATATATATGTTTTCGAAGTTTAGAAAGGGGAGGAAATTAACAGTGTATTTCTGGGGGGGGGCGGGGGCTGTAACGAATCAATTGGTTTTTAGTTATTTTTAATGGGGAAAATCCCAATGGAGATACGATGGAGAGCCTCACTGTATTGTCAAAAACGAGAGGACGGTTACCAGTCTTTTCCTACGGGCACTCTGTAAGGGAAGGTGCAGAGGCTGGCCACAGCGGGTTTGGACACATCATCCACCATCCAGTCAATGTCCTTCTTCAGCAGGGTGGCCATGGTAGTGGGCACTGGCTTAAATGGCTGCCAGTCTTGAATGATGGTCAAGTTGGGCAGGACACCTTGCATGAGGTCAGTGGTCAGATACAGCTGGTGGACTGCTGTGTGATCAAGACGCACTGGAGGACATTTGGAGGAGGAGGAGGAGGAGGAGGAGGTAGACGAAGAGGACTGGATTTCTTTACCCTTATTAAGCACGGACAGTTGGGATTTGACGTCTTCAGCCTTGAAACGCACAAGCAGAATGCCCTGCACACAAGGAGAGTGACCAAAACAAGGGTAAAAGCAAGACACGAGGTGATATAATCTGGGGTTTCAACATTTACTCTGCGTCGTGTTGAGCACCTGCTTGGTTATGAGGCGATACTTCTCAAAATCCTTTGGTCCGAGTCGATCATCGCGGGTGAGACGGCACACCTTAACCTCTGGGTATTTGGACTTGACAAGCTCAGAGCAAAAACGCAGCAGTACCCCTGCTACGCCTTTGCCCCTTTCCTGTGGAGCAACGCGGAGACCTTCCACCAGCATTGTCTCGCCATCATCTATCATACACACCGACTCCAGGGCAATCTGTCAAATATAAAGAGGCCTGTACTATTAATTAGCCTCAACATAGCCAGGCTTTGTGTTCATGGTCATGGCTTAACAAACCCTAAAACTCAATCAGGGTTCGGTCCCTGTCGTCACCTTGCTTTGTCGAGTCCGGTTCTTAGCTTTGTGCCTGATCAACTTTCGCACAAAATGGAGGACAGCCTGATCAACTTTCGCACAAAATGGAGCAATCCCAAGATTTAAGGAACATAAAAAGGAACTGCCAAAAGGAACACTGTTGCTGCCAACAAGGAAATGGAGGACGTGGCAGAAAATTGCTGACCTTGTAAATGTAACTTGACACTGATTAATATTATATTATGCCCTTAGTGTTCGACATTAAGGCACAACATTGTACTTTTGTGGTACACATTTTTCAACTTTTACATACTAAATTTTTTTTTTTTACAATTTTGAATAATTTCTATATTGTTTCTATATATTTTACTATTCTCAATTACATGACGTGTTTTATTGAAAGCAGCGAGGCTGAGCGAGGCTAAGCGTAGATCAGTGGTTCTTAACCTTGTTGATGTAGGTACTGAACCCCACCAGTTTCATATGGGCATTTACCGAACCCTTCAGTGATGGCCAAGTGGGGGGCGTGTCATCACAAGTCATATGAGTCGGGTGTGTGTCTTGTCCTCCGCCAAACCCCTGAGACTGACTCAATCGGGGCAGACGCACAGGAGCTCCCCGTAAAACAGCCCCTGTATACAATCTTCGCCCGTACAGAAAAAGCCCAAGACAAAAGAGGTATGAATAGCTAGGGTCTATTTAAAACTAGACAAGGGCTCTCAGTAGAGTGCGTACACAAAGCTACTATAGCTATCTTAGTTCAGAGCTCCACCAGGCATGTAAAGGGAGAGTGGAACTTTTCCGAAACATCAGTACAATTATTGCAATGTGTAATAAAAAGGCACGTTAAACAGTATATGAAAAGCTTCTCGAGTCCCGAAGAAGTTCCGAGCGCAGTGTCATTATGCGCCGTTTTACCTTCATTTCATCACCTGAGAACGATACCAAGTGTTTGTACGTATTGGTTTAACGTGCCTTTTTAACCTATCCAAGAAGGTTTGTATTGTCATATATTAAGATTTACTACAAAAATGTCCTTTAGGCAAGAGATGCTCATATTATTTAGAAACTATGATACTGTACAGCTACATCTGTATAATATAACATATAACATATAGTATAATATAACATATATATAACATATATATATAACATATAGCATATAGTACATATATGTATATATGTATATATACATATATACACATATATGTATATATACATATATACATATATACACATATACACATATATGTATGTATACATATATGTATACATATATATACATATATATTTATGTATACATATATATGTATGTATATACACGTATATACATATATGTATATATATGTATATACATATAAACATATATGTATATACATAATAATAGAACATATAAATTAGGTTATATAGCAAGAATCAAGACAAGAAGGCTTTACTATGAACCTGAAAAATCTTAAGAAAACCTGAGCTAAGAGGGGAAATGAACTAAGGTTTTGATTCTACCTGGAGGTGACCCTTTTTTAAGGATTGTGAAATACCGCAATGAACCTACCACTTTGTCCTCTTTGCGTGCCAATATGACAATACGGTTGGTATCCTGCAGCCAGCTGGTGTATCTGGTGGGCAAGTAGTCAAGGCCTCCATAGATGTCTTGGCTCATTGCCATAATGTCATCGAAGTCCTCCTCCGTTGCCACGGTGAATTGTAAGTCTGCCTGGGACATGGTCTCTGGCAGCTGGCGCAAAGTCAGGCTGGTGTCAATCTTCATCTTGAATCAACTGATGAGATATCAAATGGAGGAAAAAAGCATTGTGGTAAGTACTTTTACGTTTTACTGGTACTAGAAAGATGGAATGATGACTTCGCTTGTATGATAAGATGTAGGAATACCAAGCACTAAAAAGTACTAAAAAAGTTAACTTTGATATATATAATGCAGCGATAGATAGATAGATAGATAGATAGATAGATAGATAGATAGATAGATGGATAGATAGATAGATAGATAGATAGATAGATAGATAGATGGATGGATGGATGGATGGATGGATGGATGGATGGATGGATGGATGGATGGATGGATGGATGGATGGATGGATGGATGGATGGATGGATGGATGGATGGATGGATGGATGGATGGATGGATGGATGGATGGATGGATGGATGGATGGATGGATGGATGGATAGATAGATAGATAGATAGATAGATAGATAGATAGATAGGTAGGTAGATAGATAGATAGGTATCACTACTAATTGTTTTTCTCAAAACTCTAAATATAACTACAGAGAATATTTTTACAGTGAATATGCATGATAAAAATGTGTACTAGAAAATATCTTTATCTGAAGGGATTTACAAAGCACACAGATACTTTAATTTTCTACAAAAATGCTTAGCATTTTAAGCAATTCAGATGGTTTTTTTAAAAACTTGTTCTGCTTTACTTAGCTTGGCTAAGCTACTTAGCTATCTATGGCCAGAGTGAACACCAAACTAAGTTTTTGACTCAGGTTGAGTCCTGGCCAACATCAGCCAAAGTAGAGAAGTGTATCATGAAATTGGACAGGGCCTAAAAAAGCTAGTATGGGCTAAGCAGTAGCAGTGCATAACCTGATCTTTGGTTTCCGAAGGCAACAGACGGCAACAGAGGATGCCTCCCATTGAGCAGAAGTAAGTGAACTGCTCACTCTCAATGACTTATTCACTGGTGTCTGAATTTGTTAAGGAAAAGCAGAGGTTTTAATCCGTAGCCCCGTAGTTTCCCAGCTGCAGCTACTGCGGCTGTTTCGAAGCCAGCCCAATCACAATAACACGGCAGTGAAACCTCATCACTGTTGGTTGCCAACAGAGATAGTTGTACCACTGAAAAAAATGTGATCAGTGGAAATGGGTGTTAGAGTCACAGACTCCCACAGGTCAGATTTCTGGTCACAAGTCATTTAACAAGGGACACGTATCATTACTGTTCTCAACTCAAGATCATTGTAATTCTATCAACACTGTAGAGAAAATACTGGGAGAACTTTGGTGACTGCTCATGCTCTGTGTTTACACCCCGCAAAAGCAATTAACAAATGTAATAACAATAATGATCAGATATGAACAACCGATTCAAAATGCAAAGGTAAGGAACTCCTTACTATAGTTTGAATCAGAAATAAGAGCAACATGATGAAAAATGTAATTACTCTGGATTAGAGCAAAAAGCAACACAATACTTCAATTAAACCTATACACACACACACAAAAAACCCAACCTAAAATGACCCAGAATCAAAAACAACCTGAAAAAAAACCCCCTTATCTTTAGAGAATATTTTGGGAGCTACCCACTCAGCAAGTCATAGTTCAGGAGTAACGCTAGCCAAATTTGCTGTACATGCATAACTCAACACTGATTAATATTATACTGTCCTAGTCCTATATGTCCTTAGTGTTTCATATTGCTCATAGAGCATTTCATCAGGAAATGCCAGCGAATCTGTGCGATGTTGAAGAAGCCGCTCCGGTGCTGCCCGCATTATTCTTGCTCCTGTTATGTTCCTTCTTACCTTCTTTTAAAAAAAAGGGGGGGTTGGGTGGTTGGGGCAGTGGTGGCTTAGTGGTAAAGGAAGCGGACCTGGGTCTCGAAGGGTT